TTCAGAAATGCTTCTGTGTCATTTTCATTTTGTCTTTCCTGTAATGCCTGATAAAGTAGCGTTTGTGAGCGCAGTGCTTATTAGATTACAGCCGTTACCAGGGAAACCGCTATATCTCCCGCTCCAACAGCGCCTCCTGCTGGCGGAGAATGAATTTGCATTTGCAAGTCTGTGGGAAACACTGGTGTCCGTCAGCAAACATAAACAAAAAGCATGCTTCAGAACTGTTTTGAGAAGGTGCTTAAGTTTTGAGCCATGTATTATTACTCAGAATTAGGCTACTACTGTCAAGGTCGGGGATGAAGGGATGAGGCGAGGACTCAATTGCAGGAGGAATTAGGGCTTTTATTAATAACAAAATAAAACAAAACAAACAGAAACTACCCCGTAGGGGAAACCTACTGTCAAGGCAGGATCAGGACAGGACACGACAGGATACATTCGGTGATGAATGATGACGAACTGGCACGGGACTTCAAACACAAGGAGAATAAATAGGGAGCAAATGAGGAGGGTAACGAGGGAACACATGTGGGGTAAATTAACCAATAATCAGGTAACAAGATGGGTGGGGTCAAGACAATTGACATGAGCACATGGCACACAGGAAACAAAGACAAAAGCCATGTGCTCACAAAACAAAAACACAAGCACATGGCCAGCAAAACAATCACAAGCCATGTGCTTGAACAAAACAAGACACACGCAGCTAATGAGAATACTCATAAGCATCGTGTTCACATAAGACATGACAACATGAAAGCACACAGCCAATGAAAAACACAAGCTGCGTGCTACACAGCACAAGACATAACATGAAAGCAACAACACAAGACACGAGGACAGAAGAGCGTACGGCCAGAGCGAACTCGAGACCGCACGCTCCCACAACAAAACAGAACATGGAGCGCGAGTGTCCGAACACCACGCTCCAACATGAAACAAAGCACGCAGACAAGAGAGCGCACGGATCGAGCACACTTGAAGCCGCACGCTCACATGAAAACACGACATGATGGGAGTGTCCGGGCTCTGTCACGAAACCATGAATAAACTAGACCAAAATGACAGAACCTTGACAACTACTACTATTACTATCTTGTACCCTGCGATAATCATTTACTCATCGCAGGCCTATTAAGAACCTTTTGTGCAATGGAAAGGATGTTAGTTTCTTCATGCAACCATCAATGCCAGTAAAGAACTTTTATTTTTAATAGAGTATGAACATAAATGTGCATAATCTCAATCAAATCCATTTTGTAAGACATGCCACCCTACCTGTGCCGAACAATACCTGATTTCTATAACAAAATCTGCCATGGGTTTAGTGTTTTCAGTCACAGGAGAACAGCAGGCTGTGATTACATTTATTTTCCCCAACTCATTTCTTAAAGTGCTGTGAGGCAGACCTGTTTTCTCTACTGGACATCATTCAAGAGTAAGAAACTCACTATTGGCAGGAGCATAAGGCCATTTAATTTGCACTCTATTCTCATCCTCAAGGAAACATTTATTAAAGCAGGAACGCAGGCATATCAGTTTGACTTTCTGCCATGTTACCAAAGGCAAAAAATGGACTGAAATAAACACAGCAATATGTCGGTTTATTTACGCTACGTTTCTCAATAAAACCCACTCCAACCTCTTGAAATCTCCAACCCTAGTTTTGCTTTAAACTACTTCAAATAACATTGACAACACCTTTTAATGCCTTAATATGATGCCCATTTGAGTTCAATGCGAAAAAATGAAGTTAGGGCTTTGGATTGTGAAAACTAGGTGTAAGATACCATAAGTCGCCTTTGTGAATGTCAGAATAAAAGGAAAGTTGATTCTGAGTTAATGCATTCTGACAAAAGGTTATTAAAAAAAAAAAATTTGGAATCATTAATTTGGAATAACATGGATTTCATTTGGAATAACCAGGATTGTGCATTTACAAAGTAAACTGTCAATTTTAATTTTGTTGACTTCTGAAAATATAGGTTCTAGTTCTGTATCAACAGACTGTGTTTGCAGAATAATATGCAAGTTTTGTGCTGACAGCTGCACACAATACCACATAGGAAACCCACAGGTTTTGGCAGTTTTGCGCATAACACGAGCATGCGGCCAGAGTTGCACACCATGCATGCACGCCACATGACTTCCATTAGGAACATTTGCCTGCTTTGGAAGTGAATGGGCTCGCCATCTCCGTCCATAATAAAGCTCACATGAATCTCATCTAAAGTGCATGAGAAGGGCACGTACATCTACTATCCAAGCCACAAGCATATGCATCAGCATCATGACACTTAAAACTCAACCTTTATGGAAAACTAAGTGCCACAGACAGAAAAACTGTAAATACAAACAGTAAACATATCTCATCAGGATCCAAACATCAACTTTTTAATATCTTTAAATTACATTATTATTTTTTTTTGTATATAGAGTGTCAAATAGAAAATATAGTTTGTCAATAATAAAGCAAGAGGAGAGGACAATAATCAACAGTAATTTTTCCAGCTAGACGCATCAAAAAGTTTCATATCAGCAATCAACCCTTCCTACTGAAATGTAAATGTATCAAAATCATTTAAAAAATTTTTTTAAAATAAATTACTCACCCTCAAGTCATCCTAGGTGTTATATGACTTTCTTCTTTCAGACAAATCCAGTCGGAGTTATATTAAAAATGGTCTTTGACCTTTCAAGCTGTTTCATGGCACGCAGCGGGTGTTGCATGCATCAGTCCAAAAGAAGTTAAATAAAATGCGCCCATCCATAAAAAAAAGTGTCTCACACGGCTCCGGGGGGTGAACAAAGGCCTTCTGTAGCGAATCGATGCGTTTTTGTAAGAAAAATATCCATATTCAAAACTTAATAATCACTTTATTATTACTGTAATAATACTTTAATAATCACTGTAGCTTGCGCTCACTGTTGTACACTGGAAGCAGTTCCAGAGGAATGACGTATGAGGTCAGTGTTGCGCATGCGCCGCTCAGAAGTGACATACGCGGCAGCGCAGCGGAGAGATCAAAACAAAACAACGGTCACTAATTAGAAGTACAAAACGAGGATTTGTAAAGAAGAATGTCGGAGGATTTCGATATGAGCCAAGAGGAGACTGGTTTTCCTTTGCTAAAGTAAGGAAACTTTGCTTCCTTTGCTCCTGTTAACAAACGTTGGTTTTCACGAGACTCACCGGCGCATGTGAGTTTACAACAGTGAGCACAAGCTACATTAAAGGGATTATTAAGTTTTGAATATGGATATTTTTCTTACAAAAACGCATCGATTCGCCTTTGTTCACCCCCCAGAGCCGTGTGAGACACTTTTTTTATGGATGGGCACTTTTTATTTAACTGCTTTTGGACTGAGGCGACGCAACACCCGCTGCGTATCATGAAACAGCTTGAAAGATCAAAGACCATTTTTAATATAACTCCAACTGGATTCGTCTGAAAGAAGAAAGTCATATACACCTAGGATGACTTGAGGGTGAGTAATTTATGGGCAAATTTTTGGGTGAACTAACCCTTTAAAAAGCATAACGCGGTTTACCACATGTGCTCATTTTTGTTTCCGTTTTAAGAATGTGCGATTGATGATGGCTATGATTAAAGAACAGCTGAGATCTGCCAGTATGGCAAAGACAGCATAAACACATAAGCACATCTTAGGATGACAGGAGGGTGAGTAATTTATGGGCTAATTTTCATTTTTGGGTGAACTAACCCTTTAAAGGTCCCATGAAATGCTTAGAAACACGCAGCGTTACTATGTGTTGACCTCATTTTGGCTGAAACAGGAAGACAGGGCGGGACATATCAAGCAGCCCCGCCCCTTTTTAAAATAGCCAATAGCGTTCGTTTATATCACAGCTTGGGCTAGAGCCATTGAGCTCCGTAAAGTTGCATTTGACAGGGTATGCCAGCCACAATCGTATCCATATTGCTATAAAATATAGCAAAATATAGCTCCGTGCTATCATGTCTCTGGACCGGAGCAGAGTGTGTGTGCGGTGCGGTGGTTAGCGTGACACAGCGCGAAACCAGACTTCTTTTTTTTTCCTCAATGGAAAGCATACAGTATTTACACTATTTGAATCGCTCCCTGTCCCCTATATAGTGCACTACGTGCCATTCACTGTACAGAAAATACTAATTCTGTGGACAAGTGACCGATTTCAGCCGCGGCTTCAGCGTCTATTTTATAGTGCAGTGGGCGGGCGCTTCGGATTCTAGAGAGCATTTGATTGGACAGAAATTTGATGAGAAGCTGAAGTACGATGTGACGTCAGAGAAAATCATTGAGCCGTTTTGGCGGAAGCGACAAACTGCAAGCTTTGAATGCTTATATCTTCTAAATGCGAATTTTGTCACCGTTTTGGAGCACACTGCCTTATAGATAACCTTAAGACTAACATATTGATACTAACACCCAAAAAACTTTCATTTTGATTTCATGGGGACTTTAAGGCATGCTGACGTCATGCCATACTACTCACCCCGCCAAAACTGCATCTTAACATAAGCATTGGCAACATTTCATTTGATGTACATTTCAAGTCACCAAAAAAAAGTTAAATTTCACTGAATATATTCATATCACACAATCCCAAAGTTACTCAAATAAAAGCATAGGCTACTACCTGTTTAGTTGACTCGACACACGAGCTCAAGCAACACTGTCTGACACATTAACGAACTTAATCAACACATATGTCCAAATATTAATGATAATAACTATCGCCGTGTGTTTCGCTTAGAATATAAATTCGCGTCGCGCATTTGGCGCTCAATTTAACCCGCTCTCGCACGCTACATTTAAAACGGCGGCGTTCTAAAAAGCCACGTGCTTGAAAATGATGGACGCCGAACACTGTTCGTTCAACTTTTGATTGTCGATATGGGTTTCAAAGGAGAACTCTCACAACAGTAACTCATAAAAGTGAACGTCAGGAATGTGTATGAGAAGTAAAGTACTGTAGTAAACCTGAGCCTTACCTTCACATGTGGAGAGTTGAAGAGCCTGTGGAGTCTGAGAGAGAGAGAGCTTGACACAAAGAGCTGTGAGGAGGGACTGTCCCATCATGATTATGATGATGATAATAACTAGAGCTCGACTAATGTAGGCTGCAACACATTCTAGATCTTGATCTTTACCTTTTCAGTAATAACAACAACAACTACTGATGGTGTATATCATCGCATTAGTTTAGGTCGGACTAAAAATGTTTCTGTTCCATATGAATAGAGGATCAGAATAGCTACAAATGAAAAGTTTAGACACACTTGACAAAGGCTTCTGCCTAAGTGCTTGAAATTAGTTTTCTTGAGAAATATACTAGTGTCTACTTATGAATTTCTTCACAGACACATGTTCTATTATCCAAGCATTTATTCATTCATGCATTCATTCATAAAGAAAGAAAGAAATGGATTGTGAACACAGTAGGCGAACTGAAAAGCAGCAGAATAGATATAGGAACTCTGAACATGGGGAAAAAAACATGCCATGAAGTATTGAGAATGTCCAAGATCTACACAAAAGAAGCACAAATGTATCTGCACCCATGTTGTTTCATAGTTTTATTTGTACAAAATGGAAAACTGTCCTAATAAAAATTATGTGTCCAAACTTTCTCTCCCGCTGAATGCACTGCACTGAAAAAAATGAAGCTTTTTAATACAAAGGACCAAAAATTACTAGGGGCCAAAAGTATAGGCTAAATAGCATTATATCTAACTAACTATATTATATTATAATGTATTAAATTAAAAATGTATTAATTAATACATAAGCAAAAATGTAAAAAATTATTTGACATTGTTATTTAAAAAAAAACTTTTTTACATTTTAATGCAGAAATTCTACAAAAATGACTTCAATGGCATGTTTTGGTGTTTTTTCCTTTCTTTTTTTACCCTCCTCTTGTGATATGGAATGGCGGGCCAAATCAAAAGCCATGGTTTGTGCATATCTGCTCTAGACATACTCTCTCTGTCATGAATGATGTGCTACAATCCGTCATGGCCAAATGTAACATCTCCTAAAGCATGTGACAGCAAACTTTCCACTTTGCCTTGCCTGTTGATAATGACAGACATCTGTTGTTCTGTCTGTAGTGAGGAGACGCACACCTTCCATGGGACATTCCACACCCAGAGGAAAGAGGGTTTGCTGTTAAACTCACACGAGGTGAAAACTCCCACCAGAACACAGCTGCACTTTCTGAGATTCCTGAAGAGTGCACATCTTTATCGCATTTTCAAGGACATGTGATGTCTACAGTTTTTGTTTAAAGCTGAGGTCCTGCAGCGGAATGAATATTTAGTAGTGTCACTATCACGTGCTGAACAAGTTTGAGGTCTACTAAATTTAGTTTAATTGCTTGAGAAGCAAAGCATCACTATGCTGTTTGCTTATTATTGCTCTTCTTATTATTATTCTTCCGTACAAACTTCAGCACATAACTCGTCCTGCACCGTTTGTCACAGACCCATGTAATAGGTGTTAAATCATGAGAAGAGGTGTGCTATGACTTCTATAATCAATCGGGCGTACGATGTTTGCACAGTGGGCAAAAAATCAGGCAAAAAGTCCCATAGACTTAACATTGTGTCCAAATTTGACGGGTCGTAGCGCAGAGCGAGGATTTCGTAGAAACATGTGAATTACCACATTTGAAGAGGCTGTCAATCTGTGCAAGACCATACCTCGCGATGGGGTATAAGTTGCACCCCTGGGGCACAAGAGCCCCCCAGAGTTGCCCCATAGACATACTATGGTGAAGGAATTGAGCACGTGTATTTCCTACTATGGTAATGTAGCGAATCAGCTCATGGGGAAATATGAATAATTAACATTAACTAGTTATAATTAACTATTCATATTTTAGATCCACTGTAGATATTTAGCTGACCACTCAGGGTCAACTGTCTTGTCAATTCTAAGAACGTTAATTTCCTGGTACAGTTCTTACTGTACAATTCTATAAGCTTGTAACGTAAATCTGCATGATTATTGACTCCGGTTATGAGCAAACAATGAACACGTCAAGTGTGATACAAGTAAGGTTTTATTAACTACATAAACACTTAAACTAGTCTAACATACTACATAAACACATTAAGCCGGTCTAACATACACATACACACACACACACACACATACAGTTGGTATAGGAAAGGGTTAAAGTTTAACTCAGCATAGAAAGAGGCATAAAGAATGGATTTTATGGAACACTGAAAGTGTATATTCAACAGATCAAAGCCTTCAGGGATACGTCAGATACTGAGTTCAAACACACCTTTGTAAAAAGGTGTAACTGATACTTAATGTATCAATTAATAAGACTAAGTTTGAAACTTAGCGAGTCTCGGCGGTCTGAAAGAGATTCCTGATGCAAATCTTAAAGCTTCCCGTAGATCTTTGCTGAATTCGGGTCGATGAAAAGAACCAGTTTGAGTCAGTGTCACTTGATGAATGGAAAGGACTAGGCCGAAGAAAGGCCTGGCACAAATGCTTTGGTATCCTGAAGCGTTTTTCTCACATCTTCATCTTTGCTTCTGACCGAACCACCGACTGAGCGGGTCACATGGTGTGTCAGCTTTAAGCTCAGAGAAGATCCCCGCCTCTCAAGATGGGCTTATCCAATGAGAAAAGCCGGAATCCCAAGTGGGCGTTTTGAGATCCTGTGGAGTTTATGGCTCTTTGTGTGGAAACATGGTACTTTAGTATCTGAAACTTTGATTGAAAATACTAAAGGTTCTCAGGGCACTAATATATTGCCTACGTACCAACAAATAATATACATTCTTGTTTAGATCATCAGAAGGCGAATTCATAGATACTAAACAAGCTATATGTAAGGTTATCTGAATGAGTGGTTTATCGTAAGCACGAATAAAAATAGTCTATAATACAACAGATTAAATACAAAACAGCAATAATACACACAATGGCCTGAAGAAAATGTGTGTTCATTCAAAGAAAAGGTTTTCCTATGAATTAATTAGTAGAACAGTCCATTTCTCCTGTGCATTTGTACCCCTTGTTTCTGGAGAAAGCAGAATGAGAGCCGGCTCGCATTCCACAAGGTTGTAAATGTATCGGGTTACCATGAAACCAGGGTCTTGTTCGGCGTCCTGGGGTGTTACAAAGTATTTGTGAAATCTAGCTAACAAAATATATATTGTGTGTTGGAGTGGTCCAGACGCTACAGTAACTTACATAGAAATTTTGCACAGAACATAACTTTGGATCACAATGTCAAAGAGACATGGGGGTTGCATCATATCATTAGTTCTGGCAAGCAGCCTTTGGAGTATCATCGTTGGCAGCTCCCTAACTATTGCCACTAAACCACTCCCTAACAACCAAACTGAGTACCCTAGCAACCATTTAGCAACACCTATATCTTTGCATCAGAACATCGTATAAACATGGGAGTTGGCTCTCTATCAACATGCTAATAGTGATTAGCTAAGTGCTAAAACATGATAAAAATCCGAATTAATTGTTAAAACGTCATAAAAAAGACCCCACCAACTGCCCAGTGTAAGCACCACTCACATTTTCTTTAGAAAATGTACACATGTAGTTATTTCTGCTGTTGTTTATCTCTGCACGCTGGCACTAAAAATATTCAGGTTTTCCAAGCATAATCGTGTACTCCTTTGTAAGTCTTTCTAAAAGTGAATGAATAAAGCAAAAAACTGATTTCATATTCCCGGAAGTATTTCAATGACCTAGCATGGAAGACCATTTCCGCCACTGACAAAAAAAATTAAAAAGATGACTGCAACTTTTTAATCTCATAATTTAGATGAGAAAGAAGTCTGAGGTTATATCTCACAATTCTGTTTTTTGTTTTTTTTGTCTTCTCAGAATTGCGAGATATAAATTTCTGTCTTTCTTTCTTTAAATTACGAGTTCATTTCAGATAGTGATTTAGGCATCATTTTAGTAAACTCACTTTCAGGTCTGGCTCCATTCAGCAGCTTTTGATGTTACACTCAATTCTCATGTGCATGAATATCCTGGTTCACACAGAAACACATGACATCAGGAAAATTAAATGGCTTGGAAATGTAATTTAATGTTTTTAGACCTGTGTGATTTCTAATTAAAACACAGTTTAACAAATGAGTGCAGTAAACAAGATGATGTTCATTTTCGAAGCACTTTGAATGTATTGTGTCTTGTTTTGACTTGTTTACGTCTGTAGGTTGGGTTCTGGGTCAGATGAATTTGTATGTTTAAAATAGAACTGGCAACCGTGTTGTATTCTTATGGGCTGCCGCTTGAATATAACCATGCGGTTAGATTCTGTTTGCACTTACAGTCTGACCGCATCCACCTACACCCTGTCTCGTCTAAAATATTGTTTCCCCAGCAATGTGAATGCCGGGATTTTTCTGGCTAGCTTTTCAAAGTTTCTGGGGGTCACATCATGCGCTGCTGCGGGGATGCTTGGAAGTATTACAGTTCTGTTCTGTCAGTTGTTAAGCAGAAAGTGTTGGCTCTCCCCTTTGTAGCTTGTTGCATATGAGGGAGTTTGCACGGCTGAATGAGGATGCGGGAGTAGGGTGTCTCTCCCACTGCGTCTCTTTTCGCAGCCTGTAGGAGTCCCTGAGTTCTCTTCGGAGCATGTCAAGCTTGTCTTGAGTGTTGTTCAGCTGCTGGATCAGAGTCTCTTGAAATCTATCGATTTCCTCCTGTTTCAATCCCATTAGGTTGTGGGTCAGGAAGATGATGACCTTGGTGAGCTTTTTGTAGCCATAACTCTCGCTTGAGTCCTGAGTCTGAGGTACATTTCTCTCTCTGTGTCCAGTTGCTTTCGGCTCAGTAGGTGGTCGTTGGCCCTGGGTAAGGTAACGTCATAAAAAAGACCCCACCAACTGCCCAGTGTAAGCACCACTCACATTTTCTTTAGAAAATGTACACATGTAGTTATTTCTGCTGTTGTTTATCTCTGCACGCTGGCACTAAAAATATTCAGGTTTTCCAAGCATAATCGTGTACTCCTTTGTAAGTCTTTCTAAAAGTGAATGAATAAAGCAAAAAACTGATTTCATA